GTATGTTAGCTTTGTGAACTGAAGCTATTGCTATTTTGTAGTTTGTTTTTTTTTCCCCCTACAAAAAGCGGTGTTGAACTCTAAATAAGTTTTGATGAAAAGTGTTGCTTAATGTGATGTCATGTGGCCTCTTGGCTATGCAGGACTTGCTGCTGCATTAATGAAAGCACAGTGCTGTTTTTTTTTTTTTTTCTTCAAAATTTTCAGCTCTTTTTCATTTATATAATAAAAGAAACCCAGTGGTGATCAAATACCACCAAAAAAAAATTATATTTGTATGAAAAAATTATATAAACTTAATTTGGGTACAGCATTGCAGGACTGTGCAATTACCAGTTAAAGTAGTGCAGTTCTAAATAGCAAAAAATGGCCTGGTCACGAAGAACCTAAAACCTTCCATAGCTCTCGTGGTTAAAGGGATGCAATGCAACCGTCAATGAGCAGGGTGAATAAATCTATGACCTCATAGTGGATGCTATCTTATTGCCATAGCAGCAAGATTAATACATTTCCCTTTAGTTTGATTACATATTGTTAACCCTATAGACACCACTCGTTTCTCTTTACATTCTGATCTTGTCATTCTTTGATAAAACAGTCACTCGCAACAACCAGAATCAGAATGATTGAGAATACGAATCAATGTTTTACTGATTTTGACTTTAGCTAGTGGAAATCTCCCCAATGGGTCAAAGACTTCTGTAAAGACCTGCAGCAGCTGGTTTTTCACTGGAGTTCGAAGGTTTTTTTTTTTTTTGCAATTTGCACATTAACTGCTGGATTAAAGTGTGGTAACGGGTGAATTTTAGATGTCACTTCTTATTTTTTATGTGCTGCATTCATGTGTATCGACCTTGACCGCTTCCTGGAAGTGAAACTTGCAACATTTTAAAACATTGCTAGCATCTTATTTTGTATTCAAATTCTAGAGAGAGCGTAGAGCACATTCATGTAGTTTTGTTTGAGTGTGGGTGTTTTCAGCCAGTAATTGAAAAAGTCTGAAACATTCCTGCTGGTCTCAATTCTGAGATGATTTTATGTTTTACTGCGCAGGCTAAAGTTCTTCGAAGATGTGGGTGGAAAAAGCCCACTTGAATTAGTACTGTAGGTTGTAGGCTCAGGTCTATTCAGAGGAAATTCCAGTCTGCCTAAAATGCAACAAGACCCCCCCCCCCCCTTTCCTAGATGAGCTCATTTTTCAGTAATGTGTCTGTGTCCTTACTTAAGCTGGATATTTAAATATGTACATGAAAATCTGGGGCCCCTTGAAAGAATTTTTTTTGTGACAGGTCATTCCTGTGTGGGAGTTAAAATAGTCACCATTTGTATGCATGTGTTTGGGTGTATATGTACTGTATGTATTTATACTTACGAATAACCTTTTTTTTTTTTCTTATTTCTTTCTGTCCTTATTTTATTTTTAACTTCTCGAAATGTCAATAGGGCGCAGATGGTGAATTGGGAAAACCCTTTGTCTGCCTTTTTGATATTGGGCATTCTGTCAGTAAGGATCTCAACTCCTTTAGCTTGCTGGAAGTTAAAGTGGAGCTTCATCCAAAAGGGGAAGTTCCACTTTAAGGCCTCCCCGTTAAGGATTATTACCTTTTGGAAAGTGGGGGGGATGGGGTACCTGAATTTGACAGGTACCCGCTCCCACTTTCGCTGCGATCACCTAGGTGATTGGAAGCAAAAAGTTGTTGTCCTCTTACCCCGCCCCGTAGTTTTTTGGGACACGTGACAGGTCTCAGATTGCATGCGCAGTGGGCACGTGGCTGTGACGCTTAAGCTGTCACAGCCGAGTGCCCAAACTGAAGATGCCGGCGCCAAAGGACGGCTGGTGAGGACACCTCTTGATCGAGGGAAAGGTGAGTGTCTGTTTTTTACCCCGTTCACTGCCAGGCATTGTGCTCCACTGTTGAACCCAGCTGGACAGACCATTTTTTGGATTCTTTTAAATTTACTTTTACTTTACAGCTTTCAGAGTTTGTAAAAGACCCCCCAAACCATATATTGTCTGAAAGCACATGACCAGTAGAATAAAAAGAAGGTGCTACTGATTTTTAAAATCCGTGATAGTCAAGCAAATGTTTATCAAAGCAATATTGTTGTTGAAAATACACAAAATTCCTGCTAAATAGAAGTTTAACTTGTCTTGAGTTAATAAATAACTATTTGTCCATTTTAAATTGCGCCTTTTTTTTTTTTTTTTTTTTTTGCAAAATGGTGAAAATGGAACATACACACAAATGTAAATAACCAAATCTTTCTCAAAATCTGAAGGTTTTCATTTTTCACTTACAGCTTTCAGAATTCGTAAAAGATCCTCCAAACCATATATTTTCTAAAAGCACATGACCAGTAGAATAAAAAAAGTGCTCCGGGATATTTTCATTAAAAATTCACTAAAATCATTAGCAGAGAGAAACACAGCAAATTTTACAAACATCATGCTAAACTCCTACTAAATATAAAAGATTAACCTGTATTGAGTTAATAATTTAAAAAATATTTGTAAATTTTAAATTGCGCCTTTTTGTAAAATGGTGAAAATTGAACGTGTGCAAAAAATTTCTCTAAAAATCTGGAGCTTTTCATTTTTCACTTATAGCTTTCAAAGTTTGTAAAAAGACCAAACCCCCTAAGCCATATATTTTCTGAAAGCGCGTAACCAGTAGAATAAAAAGAAGGTGCTACTGATTCTTTTAGGCACCACAACAATTGCGCAAATGGTTATCAAATCGCTATTTTCACTAAAGAAACACTAAAATCCTTATTTGCACACAAAACCACAACATAACTTACAAAATTCCTACTAAGGCCTTGCTTAATGGGATGTACTAAAATGTATGTCCATGGAGGGCTCTGTCTACCTGCACGGGGATGCACAGGTGTTCTGTAACCGCTGCATCCCAATAGACATCAATGGGGATGCAGAGAAACACCTGTGTATCCCTGTGCAGCTAAACATGGCCTCTCTCTATTATGCCCGTGTAAACCAGGCCTTTGGAATTTCTGCCGCCTGCCAAATACCCCCCCCCCCCCCCGGACAGCATCATCACCCTGTCCACTGCCTTTAGCAACTTAAAGGGGGGGGGCTTAAGTTGCTATAGGCAGTGGACAGGGTGATGATGCTGTCATGCTACAGAAGCAAGGGATGTCTAAATGCAAACGCATGTCTAAATCTACCCTTACTATGTTTTTTTATTTCTTCTTACAACTTAATTTTTTTTTTTTACTGGCTGAGGTACATTTTTATTTTTTAGTATTTTTTTTGGGGTGGGGGGCTTTGAAAAGATATCAAGGGCTAAACAGACCTCTTAAGTCTTTTTTTTTTTAAACCGAGAAAGGGACTGAAGACAGCTGCTCTTTCGAGACGCATGTGGCTGCCATTCATTCAGTGCGGTTTCCCTGCGGATGCGTTTTGGAAATGGTGCATGAACCTTTTTTCTTTTTGCATGAAATGCCAGGACTAGTATGAACTTAGCTTTACTATTTTTTTTTTTTTTTTCTTAGTTTATTTTTGTTAACTAAATATATATGAGTGTGTGTTTTTTCACTTTTTGTGGGGGGGGGGGGGGCTTTGCAGATACATCAGCAGTCTAAATAGACCACTAATGTCTCTTTTTTTTGAGACCGAGAACGGGACTGAAGACAGTCCCTTTCTCTGCAGCCTGAGCTGCACTGAAGATGAATGAGATGGTCTCATTCATAAAATGAAACATAATCTTTACTATGTTTCATTTACAAACTGATAGATAGTAAAAAACAGTTTACGATCTGTCAGTGATTGATGAATACAGAAGCGATCTGTACTGATTACTGTCTGTATTCATTGATGAAAGGAAGAGGGATGGTAAAATCCCTGCCCCCTGTGCTCTCAGGAAAGGAAGGGATGCCCCCCTCCAAGCTGACAGCGATCTGTCAGCGGCTGCAGCCAGCGGGAGGGGAAGGAGAGAGAGAGCTGTCTAGCTGCTTCAGGGAGTGGGTGCCCGGCCATCAGATGGGTAGAGGGGACACTGAAGGGGGGTCGGAGCACCAAGGGGGTTTCTACTTTGACTAGCTGATCCTTCTGTGGCAGCCCCTGCAACACTTAAAGTTGGCGGGAGAGGCAGATGAGGAAAGCCGACAGCTGCAGGACGACCACAGAAGGACTGTGGTTTGTGTGGGGGAATCGTTGCTGAAGGGGGGAGTAAGCAGGTTAAGGCAATGTAAGGGAAAGTTAGAGGGGGATTGGGGGGCTATTAGCACAGGCGGAGGGACAGGAGACACCGGGCAGAGAAGTGGTGGTGGTGGCGGGTGACACATTTTAGGTTAATAGCTTTGATCAGTGGCTTAGCCGCTAATCAGAGCTATCATTTTGTTCAGCAGAGTCTGCTGAACATTTCTGTTAAAGCACTACTGTAGGGCCGTACGGACCTGGCAGTGAAAGGGTTAAAAGTCAGCAGCTACCATTTTTGTAGCTGCTGACTTTTATTTATTTATTTTAACTGGAGCTCCGCTTTATGGCCCACCTTCCTCCTTTCTCACTAATATGACAATGTTCCTAAAGAGTTTGATTTAGATACACTTTATTATATTTGTAGAATGTCAAAAACCTATAGTGCAGGGGTGTCCAAACTATGGCCCTCCAGGTGTTGAGGAACTGCAAGTCCCATGAGGCCTTGCAAGACTCAACATCCACAGGCAGAGGCATGATAGGACTTGTAGTACTTCAACAGCTGGAGGGCCATAGTTTGGACACCCCTGCTACACTGTATAGTGCATTTGATGTTCTGAATTCCTTGGGATGAACTTAACAAACCTAATGATTACAGAGCACCTAACATGATTGTTACATTAATATACTTTTGCTGAACCTGTTCTCAACATTATCAATCTACTTTTCTGTTTTCAAAATGTTAGAAAAATCAGCTAATTGCTTGCTTGCATATTTAAATTTGTGGGTTGTGGTTAACACTTTGCTTGCTGTTGTAGGACCCGTGGGGGCACAGCCCTTTTTTATGGTGCCCAGACGGCCTGGCTATGGCACCATGGGAAAGCCCATCAAGCTGCTGGCCAATTGCTTTCAAGTGGAAATCCCAAAGATTGACGTTTACCTCTATGAGGTGGACATTAAACCAGACAAATGTCCTCGCAGAGTTAACAGGTAAGAGCTTATTTTTTTTTTTTTTTTTAATCTTCGAGAGATGTTTGGCTGCATGTGTTACATAGGAACTTAAAGATAAGAGATTTAATTGATGAGAATAATTTCTGCCCCCAGCATGATAAAACAAGTGTGAGGGTTGTGTTGTTTGCTAAGGACTGGGCTGATGTGTCAATTCAGTTAAAGGTTCAGGTGCTAAAAACACTACAGTAGATAGTAGTGTTTGTCATCATGTGTGCCAATGCTCCTAGTTTAGGTAACAAACTTTTGTGAGCTGACAGCTCTTAAAAGTGTCTAAGGACAACTTGAACTTTGGTGCAATTACAGAGACATGGTTCAAGGATACAAATGACTGGAAAATAACTATACCATGGTACACTCCATTCATGTGTTTGGAATGGCGCAGTCAAAGTCCAGACCTAAATACAATTGAGAATGTGTGGCAAGACTTGAAAATTGCTGTTGACAGACTCTCTCCATCCAATCTGGCAGAGCTTGAGCTATTTTGAAGAATGGGCAAAAATGTTACTCTAGATGTGTAAAACTGGTAGAGACATACCCAAATAGACTTGCAGCTGTAATTGCAGCGAAAGGTGGTTCTATACAGTATTGACTCGGGGGGGCTGAATAGAAATGCACGCCACACTTTTCACATATTTATTTGTAAAACATTTTGAAAAACGTTTTATCATTTTTGTTCCACTTCATAATTATGTGCCACTTTGTGTTGGGTTTATCAAATAAAATCCCAATCAGATACATTTACATTTTTGGTTGTAACATGGCAAAATGTGGAACATTTCAAGGGGTATGAATACTTTTTTTCAAGGTACTGTATATCCTGCAGTCACATTTAAAGTCTAAGGCTCCATTCACATAGCGACGTTTCAACAAAATACAAATAGCGGGACATGCGACTCCCCAAAAAAAGGTTCCGGAACCGCTTCTGGGCAGTGCGTGTCCTGTGATTTTGTTTGCACGGTTGCAGCACATTTGTTGCGTCGAAAAATGTGCCATGATTGTGCTAAAAACGCCTCACGTTTTCAGGTGCCATTGAAATGAATGGCACCTTAGCACGCGAATGCATGTTTTCACAGTGCGTTTTTAAATCGCAGACAGAATTGAGGTGGTTCTGCTCTCTATTTGAAACTCCTCATTGTGAATTGAGAGTAAAATAGAGATGCTGGGTGCAATAACTAAAAGAAAAGTCATATACACACAATCAACATGTAATCATGCAGGTACCTTTCAATCCGCATTTAAACCATTACATATTCTACGCATGTGAAAGACCATCTACCAAATGAACACCTGCCCTGGCACATCATAGCATTCACCTGGCCCCCCCAAGAAATAACAGAATCCAACTGCAATATTCTTGCACTGTCAAAACCTCCACTTTTATTATCACACAACACACAGGAGGATATATCTTATAGTCATCACAATCTGCATAATAACACACACCAGTAAGAGTGAGCATTACAGCATGAATTAGACACTTCATTTGACAGCGTCACAGCATAGAATTACAAATACATTACCAACGCTATACTAGAAGCTGGGAGGAACAAATCCCATTGGAACCAAACTGCCCAGGGGGTCACGGAGAAGCCGTAGGTGTGACCAGTCAATGAGCCCATATAGCCTTGGCAAAAATCCCAGCATCAGAGCGTCCTCTGGCCACTAAGGGGAGGCTTCTACTGGTCTTACCCGGACCTCCGCCTTAGAAACCAATTTTCTGAAAGCTGTCCAATAGTGGGCGGTGCCACACCTACCACAGGAGGAGCTAGCAGAAGGGTTCCACGAGGATACCAGACTCACGTACAATCGCCATATTCGTGATCTGAAAAGTCACACTTTTGCTTCTTATTTACCCCAAAACCTCTTCTCATCTCCCCCAGACTTAAGGATTTCTAACTTTGACATCTTTAAATGGGTTTTTATCTCCTAATGTCACAAGTTTTTATCTTGCTCTCAGCAGAATATCTTTTGACTTTGTTCCTTTGACCTAGAGAAATGACACATCAGTCACCTCTCATGCCCCTGGCATTTGGGCAACAATGCTTTATTGTAAAAATTACCCAAGAAACAAAGGGTCCAAGGCCAACACATTTCATAGGCATTACACCTAGCTAATTCAAAACGTTTTTTAGTTTTGGATAGAGTGCAGAGGAATTAGTCAGTTGCGATCTGTCTGTGCCCCTGTTAAGGAGATTCAGCCTCTCTATTTGTCCTGTTTATCATTGAGCGTAAAACAAAATCCCCTATTTTGGGTTGCCCCTGCAAAGTAATAGAGGGGAAAAGTTCAAATGGGGATACTAGGGTGTCCATTTATGACACAGAGAATAGCTGCGATTCAGAGGATCGCAGCTATTCTCTGGTCATTCACAGTTTGACACTCAGGAGAACATGTTCAGCCCTTCACTGGAGATCTGTGTTCTCCCTCCAGATTCTCCAGCCCAGAGCTGGAGAATCGGAGGGACCGCAAATTAAGCAGCGATAATTTACATCTGCTTAGTAAACGGATCTTTTTACTGTAATCTCGGGAGATTATAGTAAAATCAGCCATTCTCCAGTGTTTGGAGACCGTTCTCCCTTCGTTCGGAGAACTGCTTCATAAAAGGCATTCACAGGAGAACTGTGTTCTCCGAGAATGCCGGAGAACTGAGCAGCGATCTATTACTGCTGGTTCATAAATGGACACCTAGTTCTGGTGACCTGGGTCCCTAAGGAATGCCCTTAATTTGCAGGGATTTTCTCTCACTACCTGTTTGGTTGTAGGACAGGAAGTGAAGTGAAATCTCCGCAATGGGACACAGGTGGCAAAAATAAATCTGACAGTGGCCATAAACGTCCCTTGCTCTATCCAAAATGGGAAAAAAAAAAGCTTTGCCTATAATTCCACTTTAACCATTTGCCTACCGCTCCATAGCAGATATACTGCTACAGGGTGGCTGTGCTGGGCAAAATCACATGTATTAACGTGATTCTGCACCTCCTGGTTGTGGTCGCACGCATGTCATACTGATTTGTCACAGAAGAAGCTGATCAGTGGGTGCCAGTCAATGGATGAGCTCTAGTACCCGCTAATCACCTAGCAGACTGACAGAACACAGCTCTGCCTATGTAAACAAGGCAGAGCTGTGTCCTGTCAGTGGCAATATGCTGGATTTTCTAATGTGCTGGGAATCAAATCCCAGCACATTACGTAGTGAAAGCAACACACACAGTACCCATTACACTTAGCTAGGTACACAATTAACCGTTTGATAACCCTAGATGTTTAACCCCTTCCAAGCCAGTGTCATTAGTACAGTGTCAGTGCATATTTTTAACACTGATCACTATATTCGTGTCAATGGTTCCCACAATTTGTCAGTGTCAGATTGTCTGCTGCAATATCGCAGTCCTGCTAGAAGTCGCCAATCTCTGCCATTACTGGTATAAGAAAATGCCATTACTGGTATAAAAAAAAAGAAGTAAAAAAATTCCAGTATATATACCATAGTTTATATAGACACTAACTTTTTTTTTTTTTTTTTTTTTTTTTACATTTTTGGTCTTTTTTTTTTTTTTTTTCTTTTCTAGAACACAAAAATAAAAAACCCAGAAATGATCCAATACCACAAAAATGACATAAATCTAATTTTATGTACAGCATTGCATGACTGCGCAATCGTTAGTTAAAATAACGCAGTGCCATATCACAAAGGATGCCATGTTTATAAAAGGGGATAAATCTTCTGGACCTCAAGTGGGTGTGTGTGAGAAATGTAAACAGAATTTTTGCTAACCCCTTGGTTGGTTGATTGTCATTAACACAGCTTCATTTTATTTACTATGCTTACTGAATAGTTGCTTTGCTTAGTGTTTCAGAGTTAGATTATTTTGATTAGTTGAATGTCATATATGTTTACTAAATAGTTTTATTTAACTTCATAATAATTACGACCGGAGGATTTAAAAAAGCTGTTTGGAGAAAATTATTTCAGTAGATCTGTGTGCATTATATATAGGTGAAACTTTTTTTTTTTTTTTTTTAATAATTTTACCTTTTCTTTAGGGAAGTTGTTGATTCGATGGTCCAGCATTTCAAAGTCACCATATTTGGTGACCGTCGACCGGTTTATGATGGAAAAAGAAGCTTGTATACTGCCAATCCACTGCCTGTAGCATCTACTGGGGTAAGTGCTAAAAAGGTATATTTTGCGACCCAAATTAATTTACGTCCTTTTTTTTTCCCACAAATTGAGCTTTCCTTCGGTGGTATTTGATCGCCTGTGCGTTTTTTATTTTTTGCGCTATTAAAAAAAAAAAAAGGCTGACAATTTTGAGGAAAAAAAACAATATTTAGGACTTTTTGCTATAAAACATGTCCAGTAAAAAAATGTAAAAAATAATTTAGTCATAAATTTTAGCCAAAATGTATTCTGTGACATGTGTTTTGCTAAAAAAAAATCCCAATACGTGTAAAATTAATTGGTTTACGTGAAAGTTATAGCTAGAGATGAGCGAATTATTCAAAAATTCGATTCGGCTGATTCGCCGAATTTGAGGAAGAAATTCGATTCGATGCGAATTTATTCGCTAAACGAATTAACTTATAAAAAGGGTTTCTAGGCTTCAGAGAGCCTTTAAATTAGTGCAGAACACTGTACCTTTAATTTAAATGCCCTTGGAGATGAGGAAGGAGAAAGGAGAAGGATGAGAAGAAGGAGAAGGAGAAGGAGAAGGATGAGAAGAAGGAGAAGGAGAAGGATGAGAAGAAGGAGAAGGATGAGAAGAAGGAGAAGGATGAATAGAAGAAAGAAGGAAGAAGATGAGAAAGAAGGAGAAGGATGAGAAGAAGGAGAAGGATGAGAAGAAGGAGAAGGATGAGAAGAAGGAGAAGGATGAGAAGAAGGAGAATTCCAAGCCGGCAAAAAGTGTATCTGCAGAGCTGCCGCTATTTCTTAGCGGAGCTCTGCAGATACTTAGCGGAGCTCTGCAGATACACTTACATAGCGGAGCTCTGCAGATACTTAGCGGAGCTCTGCAGATACTTAGCGGAGCTCTGCAGATACTTAGCGGAGCTCTGCAGATACTTAGCGGAGCTCTGCAGATATACTTATGCGAAGCTCTGTGCAGATACACTTAGCGGAGCTCTGCAGATACACTTTTTTCCGGCTTGGAATTCTTCTTATTTTCATCCTACTTCTTCTTCTTCTTCTTCTTCATCCTTATCCTCAGAAAAGAAGAAGAAATGAGGATGAGGATGAAGAGGAAGAAGAAGAAGAAGAAGTAGGATGAAAATAAGAAGAATTCCAAGCCGGAAAAAAGTGTATCTGCAGAGCTCCGCTAAGAGTGTATCTGCAGAGCTCCGCTATTTCTCTGACAGTTCTCTGACATTCCATCACTTCCATACAGCGGTTGAAACAACATTGTATTCCATTTATGGAAACAAATAGATACAATGTTTCAACCGCTGTATGGAGTGAATGTCAGAGAACTGTCAGAAAGAAATAGCGGAGCTCTGCAGATACACTTAGCGGAGCTCTGCAGATACACTTTTTGCCGGCTTGGAATTCTTATTTTCATCCTACTTCTTCTTCTTCTTCTTCTTCTTCTTCATCCTCTTCTTCTTCTTCTGAGGATGAGGATGAAGAAAGAAGAAGAAGAACAATTGAGGATCTGCAGAGCTCCTCTAAGTGTACTTCTCTGCAGAATAGAAGAGCTCTGCAGATACACTTTTTGCCCGGCTTGGAATTCTTATTTTCATCCTACTTCTTTTTCTTCTTCTTCTTCTTCTTCATCCTCTTCTTCTGAGGATGAGGATGAAGAAGAAGAAGAAGTAGGATCTGCAGAGCTCCTCTAAGTGTATCTGCAGAATAGAGGAGCTCTGCAGATACACATTTTTTGCCGGCTTGGAATTCTTCTTTTTTCATCCTACTTCTTCTTCTTCTTCTCTCTTCATCCTCATCCTCTTCTTCTTCTTCTGAGGATGAGGATGAAGAAGAAGAAGTAGGATGAAAATAAGAAGAATTCCAAGCCGCAAAAAGTGTATCTTGCAGAGCTCCGCTAAGTGTATCTGCAGAGCTCAGCGGGTTGAAACATTGTATCTATTTTGTTTCCATTTATGGAAACAAATAGATACAATGTTTCAACCGCTGTACTTCATGGATCCTCAGAATGTCAGAGATAGGCTATTTCTGACAGTTCTCTCTGATTCACTCATTCACAAAAAAAGAAGAATTCTCAACCGCTGTATGGAGTATTGAATGTCAGAGAAACTGTCAGAAATAGCGGAGCTCTGCAGATACACTTAGCGGAGCTCTGCAGATACACTTTTTGCCGGCTTGGAATTCTTCTTGGTTTCATCCTACTTCTTCTTCTTCATTCCTCATCCTCTTCTTCTTCTGAGGATGAGGATGAAGAAGTAGGATGAAAATAAGAAGAATTCCAAACCGGCAAAAAGTGTATCTGCAGAGCTCCTCTAAGTGTATCTGCAGAATAGAGGAGGAGCTCTGCAGATACACTTTTTGCCGGCTTGGAATTCTTCTTATTTTCATTCTACTTCTTCTCTCTTCTTCTTCATCTTCATCCTCATCCTCAGAAGAAGAGGATGAGGATGAAGAAGAAGAAGTAGGATGAAAAGAAGAATGAAAAGAAGAAGAATTGAGAAGAATGAAAAGATTCTTCTTCTTCTCTTTCATTCTTCTTTTCATTCTTCTTCTTTTCATTCTTCTTCTTTTCATTCTTCTTCTTCTTTTTTCATTCTTCTCATTCTTCTTTTCATTCTTCTTTTCATTCTTCTCATTCTACTTTTCATCTCTTCTTCTTTTTCATTCTTCTTCTTTTCATTCTTCTACTTTTCATTCTTCTTTACTTTCATTCTTCTTCTTTCATTCATTCATTCTTCTTTTCATTCATTCATTCTTCTTTCTTCATTCATTCATTCTTCTTTTCATTCTTTTCTTTTTCATTCTTCTCTTTTCATTCTTCTTTTCATTCTTCTTTTCATTCTTCTTCTTTCATTCTTCTTTTCATTCTTCTTCTCATTCTTCTCATTCTTTCATGAAGAAGAAAAGAAGAATGAGAAGAATGAAAAAGAAGAAGAAATGAAGAAGAATGAGAATGAAAAAAGATTATTCTTCTTCTTTTCATTCTCTTCTTCTTCTTTTCATTCTTCTTCTTCTTTTCATTCTTCTTCTTCTTTTCATTCTTCTTCTTCTTTTGAATTCTTCTTCTTCTTTTCATTCTTCTTCTTATTCTTTTCATTCTTCTTTCTTTTCATTCTTCTTCTTATTCTTTTCATTCTTCTTCTTTTCATTCTTCTTCTTTTCATTCTTCTTCTTCTTCTTTTCATTCTTCTCCTTCTTCTTTTCATTCTTCTTCTTCTTCTTCTTTTCCTTCTTCTTCTTCTTCTTTTCATTCTTCTCATTCTTCTTTTCATTCTTCTCATTCTTCTCTTCATTCTTCTCATTCTTCTCTTCATTCTTCTCATTCTTCTCTTCATTCTTCTCATTCTTCTCTTCATTCTTCTCATTCTTCTCTTTCATTCTTCTCTTCATTCTTCTTCTTCCTTCTTCTTTTCATTCTTCTTTTCATTCTTCTTTTCATTCTTCTTTTCATTCTTCTTTTCATTCTTTTCATTCTTCTTCTTCTTTTCATTCTTCTTTTCATTCTTCTTTTCATTCTTCTCATTCTTCTTTTCATGAAGAATGAGAAGAATGAGAAGAATGAAAAGAAGAAGAATGAAAAAGAAGAATGAAAAGAAGAATGAAAAGAAGAATGAGAAGAATGAAAAGAAGAATGAGAAGAATGAAAAGAAGAAGAATGAAAAAGAAGAAATGAGAAGAATGAAAAGAAGAAGAAGAATGAGAAGAAGAAGAAGAATGAAAAGAAGAATGAAAAGAAGAATGAGAAGAATGAAAAGATTCTTCTTCTTCTTTTCATTCTTCTTTTCATTCTTCTTCTTCTTTTCATTCTTCTTTTCATTCTTCTTCTTCTTTTCCTTCTTCTTTTCATTCTTCTCATTCTTCTTTTCATTCTTCTCATTCTTCTTTTCATTCTTCTCATTCTTTTCATTCTTCTCATTCTTCTTTTCATTCTTCTCATTCTTTTCATTCTTCTCATTCTTCTTTTCATTCTTCTTCTCATTCTTCTTTTCATTCTTCTTCTTCTTTTCATTCTTCTTTTCATTCTTCTCATTCTTCTTTTCATTCTTCTTTTCATTCTTCTTCTCATTCTTCTTTTCATGAAGAATGAAAAGAAGAATGAGAAGAATGAAAAGAAGAAGTATTCCAGTACAGCAAAAAGTGTATCTGCAGAGAGCTCCGCTATTTCTGACAGTTCTCTGACAGTTCCTTCACATGTACAGTGGTTGAAACATTGTATCTATTTATTTCCGAATAAAAACATCTGTATCCTAAATGGAAACAAATAGATACAATGTTTCAACCGCTGTACATGTGAAGGAACTGTCAGAGAACTGTCAGAAATAGCGGAGCTCTCTGCAGGGACAGTTTTGCCGGCTGATCGGGAAAAATCCGATTCGCGCCCCCGAATTATGCAAATATTCGGATTCGACGCGAATCGAATTTTTCCTGAAATTCGAAACGAATTCCACTTCGCCTGGTTCGATTCGCTCATCTCTAGTTATAGCGTCTACAAATGGCGGGAAAGATACTGGAATTTTTTTTTCTTTTTATACTAATAATGGCTGCGATTAGCGATTTATGACAGTGATCAGCGACTTATGGCGGGACTGCGGCAGACATTTTTTGTTGTATATTTTGTGTTGATTTGATTGGAGTCCTGCGTCAGCCTTGGTATAAGCAGCGTTCAAGTGTCAGAGCAAAAAGGGTGCCTTTTCTGCCAAAGTTGGTTCCTGATGTTAAAAAGGGAGATTTTTCCACTTGTCTCTCTCAGGCCTGACAGCCTATTTCTAGGAACCCAGCAGGGTGTCTCCTTAAAGCAGAGAACCAATGGCCTCATTTGGGGAGGGATGTTTTGGGCGGGGAACTCAGGCTATGACCAAATCCCTCCCAGTTTATACCATGGTCAATAACCTTCCCTAGATACATGTAGCAGCCTAGCCACTAGTAGATTAATATGCAGAATGATATCCTGAACGTCCAGACATCAAATATGCCATATCTTACTATTTCAGCTAGAACTATATGGCTTTCTACTCTCCTGTAGA